GGAATACCTGGAACCAGAGCCAGGGACAGGTCACAGGACATCAGCAGTGCTTCCAGCACGTAAAAACACCGATGCGAACACACCTTAGTTGTCGAGTGACCTAAACCCAGAACACTGCGCAACAGCCATACCACAGCGCAGGCCTGGGTGCCTTTTTACAATCAAGAACATCAACTGCCAAAGAAACACCAAGTGATGGCAGGAGCTGGTTTAGTGTTTTAACAGTGGCTCACGTGTTTTTGTTCCTCCCGCTCTGCTGTCAGCAGTTTCTTTTGAAACTCTAGTGAGCTGTCCCACTTGAAGGCCCAGAGGACACAGTGGTCCCAGGGCCGCACGGCCCTTGCAGTGGTTTGAAACCCTGGGCACACAATCACACCTCCATGAACAGCTTTCCCCCATTTCTTCATGCCCAAACACCCCACGTGTCTGCAGTGATGCTGCAGGCTCCGAGTCCTTCCCTGGGTGTCATGCCCCTGGCTCCAGCCCACGCCCTGGCACTGCTGGCTGGCACACAGCTCGGACAGCGCGGGGCACACACCACACACACCCCTCAGTCCAACACAGACACCTTCAATGGTCATTTAAGGACACCACATGCCTCTGAGTGCAGGGCTGGGAGCCAGAAGGAAGCTGCACTGGAACTGACTCACTGCCATCCCCATGCTCTGCCCAGTGTACACAGCTGCAGTGGCTGGGAAGGGGTTACCCATGGAGGCCACAAAACCCAAGGGACTTGATCGAGAAGCACCACATCTACATACAGATGAGCTTTACAGACAATTCAGTAGCACAGTCAAGGACATGATCGGAACCAGAGCCTTATCCCAGTCAGCCAAGCCAGGAGACAGCTCACAAGGATTCTCTGCAGGAGCCAAACACTTGGCAGACAGCTCCAGGTCAGCACTGATGAAGATTATTCCAGACAAGGTTTCCCAACACCTCCACTTCTCATCCAGTCCATTGCATCACTTCGAGTGTTTACCTCAAGGCTTTAACTACTTCTGAAGTCCAGTATTCAGCTGAGGGAAGACAATGTAACCCAGTTTAACCCCAGAAAGAATGAATGTGAACAAACCCAAGATGGCAAAAGGCCATTGAGTACAACTCAACAGCAAACTCTACTGTATTCACGTTTCCTTCTCAGCATTTGAAAAGAGCATAAAATGTGTGTGTCTGCTGAGTTTCTGAAACATTCAACTTGATGTTAACACAGGATGTTACAGCACTAGCTGGTCAACACACACTTGACCCACGAGCTTCTATTCCAAGATGCTGACACGGGAGATGTTTTTTTCCACTGGCACCATCCAGTGTTTCAAGCATTCCGGTACCAGGATCTCTTTTTCCACACATGAAGTGCCTAAGTGCCCCAGTGCTGGCTATTCAACTGTGCTTTCTTCTCTCTCTTTCACAGGAAGCTTGCAGTGTCAGGTTTGTTTCTACCAAATGGAGCACTGGAATTCCTCCTCAAGCCAGTTCTCTTTTCCAGCCATCTCAAGCCCTAAGCCATGATTATTTTCCACAAACATTCAGGCACAAGGGAATGTGTGTAGCAAGTTTATAGGCAGCACTTGTGAGAACACTTTTAACAGGATACACACCAAGGGTGAATGACACTAAATGCTTCTGCACCGCTTCTCTATCCAGCAGCCCAGGAGGAACCCAGGACCACATCTTTCACGCTGCTGTTGGCCCTCCGTGCAGCAGGACAAGGGGCACACATGTCCTTAATGTGCCCCCCTGACAAGAACAGGCACAGAAGCTTTGGCAGATGAGCAGCCTTAATCCACCCAGTTTCAGGTTTTCCTTCCCGGTGATCCTTGCAGCAGGGGCAGCCTGAAATGCACTCTCAGCTCCACAGGGAATACCCCAAGGGCTCACAACCCACAGCAGCCCATGGACCTTTCCAGTACTGATCAAAGGTTTCCAATTCCAGCCTCTGCATCTCTTGCAACACCTTCCCAGACACATGAAACATACCTGCTGACCCTTATTTTGCTGGACTGCCAGCACCTGATGTTACACTGAAAAATGACACACGATCTTCATCCTTTTGCTGCTATCTCCCATCAAACAACAGGAATTGGTTAGGTACTGAGTGAAGTGCTACTTTCAGCAGAGAACCCTTAAGCCTCCGTAACAACAGAAATGCTCTGGGTGACTCTACTCAGCCAGAGCCCACACACACCATTGAGGAACGTGAGTCCCAGGGCACAGCAAAGAAAACCGAGATGAGCAATACCAACACTTGAGCTGCAGCTGCGGTCAGTGCAGTAGAACACATCTTCAGTAAGAACTGTCACTTTTCAACATAGTCAATTTTATTTACTTGAAAGATTCTGTGTAATAAACATCAACATTTCATCCCGTTGTAACTGGAGAAGTCAAAAGTCAGCAGTCAGAACCCTGTGTGGACAGTGCTAACACACCTCATATCTCACAGACATCGTACAGTAAGGAAATCAAACTTGTGTTCTAACAGCATTCGGAGTGTCTCACCTAAATGGCACTGGAATTGCACTCAGGGTATTAACCCCCTTTTCCACTTGCATTCAGTCACCTGCCCCTTGATGCCCTGAGTAAGGTACACATGTGGTTTACTTCTTGGTTACATCTTTTACAATCACAAAGAACAAAGCAGAAAGAACATGTTACACAGAAATGTTTAGTACAGGAAGAAATCAAAACATCAGGGACATTTGTCAAGTTTTCTCTAGAAAGTTTTCAGCCAGAAACACATCTAACTCACAGCATTCTCCTTTTCTTAGTCGGCTCACACACTTCACTTCAAGGCATTTCCAAGAACAGTTCAGTGCAGAAAACAAACATCTTTGACAAGAGTATCTTTAAATTTGAAGGTTGATCAGATCCGATTTGTTCGCTAAGTGCAATTCACTGTTAACAGACAATCAGCAATACCTTCCTTGAAATCAAGGCAGTATTTACTCTTGTTTATATTCCAGTTATGAGTCCATAGAAACAAAGGTGAATGAAAAATCCAGGTTTTTTCCCAACGCCACAGGTCCCAGCTCAACACGTCCCAAGTCAGTCATGACTGAATTTGGGGTCTTTCCTCCCCTTAATAGAAGGCATCTCCCTTTGTATTTTAGCATGTCAAGTCTTAAGGCTTGGATTCAAAGTAACCAAAACAAAACACATGATGTGATACAGTCAGGCCAATTGTTACAACCTAAGCTGTATTATAACTATCTGAAACAAAAGCACCGAGCAAATACATTCCCAAGACCTCCCGCGAGGAAAGCAATCAAATCATCACTAGACACCAGGGTACAAGCACTCAGCAGGAGACTAAGCACCTGGCAGTCCCCATGTCACATGAAGGGTCACCACTCCTGTTCGTTTTGCATGTGAATCCAGGCTCACCTACAAACCAAAGCAACCCCTTGAAGGAAGACTCCAGGGAAAACCCTTCCCAACAGCACCTATAGAGCAAACCTTTCTTCACTCAAATGGCTTTCACGTGGCACTGAACTACTGACCATGAAAACGATGACAGAAGGCAAACTTGTCCTTTCTTAGTGAGAGACCAAGAACAGAGACCAAGAACAGCGACCAGACCCAGCAGAGGGGATCGAAGTCTAACATCGGGAGCAGATGTGGATGCAGAGGGATTTTTACCAACTGCCTTGCAGAACACGGCAGTGTCACCCTGGTCACCATGTGCAGTACAGGAGCACTCGTGGGCACTAGGCAGCCCTAGCAAAAGGATCCTGAGGAACGAAGATGAAAGCAGAAGGAAACGCAGCTGCTACCGTCGGGTGACCCCAGCCGATGTATTTTAAGGCATGTTACCTGAGCTTTTGAGCGTCGATAAAAACAGTCTTTCAAAGTCATACCAAGGCACCTTTACCACACAAGCACTCTCAGCCACACCTGGGCATGTGCCTAAGTGGCTCCAGAAGCTCCTTCTACCACTTGATTATCACGGAGGTTTTACTTTGCCACAGGTACGAACATAAATATTAAAGTGCTGATTGACCACATGTTAGAGCTGTTGATTAAGTTGCAGGATGCTGCAATGTCACCGTCCCAGTCAATGCCCACATACCATGGTATTTCTACTTCCATCCGAGGTAAACACAGTCAAAGCTGAACTGAAAGGCAATAGCGAATGCTCACGCTCCCCTCCCCATGTGTGGCTAACCCAAGATGTTTGGTTTTGACTCAACTTGTACCGAAACTGTGCATTAAATGAAGCAGAAGCTTCCAGTCCTAAGTCAGCTGGAGGACTGAACTAGAGACAGTGTGAATCTGAAGCAGACTACAGGCAAGTAGCCAAATCTGGCCTTAGCAAGCAACTGGCCTTTTGCAAAAGCACCTGTGGTCCTGCCCAGGTGGTGCCCACACACTGGTCCAATGGAACAGCATCACCAAGGCTACGGTCTGTCACCACACAGGTACCAGGAGCTGGATGCACAAGTGCGATTTAACGGGAGGTAACCAACATAACAAAACATCTCTTGAACCCGTGTGCTGTGAGGAGGCAGCCAAGCCCTTTTCTTTGGCCACGTAACTGATGTAACTGCAGACTTCAACAGACACATACATACACCCATGTATGTATGCATACAGCTAGAGGAATGATGTTACAGATGTAACTTGCCTTGGTGAGCAATGAATGGAACTGAACCAAAGGGATCCTCGGGAGGACTTGTCTGTGGAGCAGAATGTGGCTCCACATTCTTATCTGAAGATGCTCTCCTGTCCACCAGCCTGTCTGTAAAATACAAAATGAAACAGAACAAAAAATAAAATAAAATAAAATAAAAGTGGCAGGTGTTATGCCTATGCAAAGCTATCTGCTGTACAGGTGAGGGAGGAACACACTCTCTATTTCAGGGGGTTTTGCAAAGAAAGGCCGGCAGGAAGCACAGCCCTTTGCTGCACAGCTGGCCTAGGCAGTTCCCTCCTGCTGTACAGCCTGAGGAGACAGGCAGAGTGCTGGGTATGCTCTGCACCCACACCTGTCTCTGAGGGAGCACCACGGTGATCCTGGGCCTCACAACAGTCTTTGTGCAGCTCTAGCAAAGCTGGGTTGGTATTTTTTCCTGGTGAGAAAGCTGCCACGTTTTCTTAGCTCCCAGTTCTGCACAGAATATTAAGTGGTTACAGGAGCTGTTTGAGAAACCCATTTCTTCACAAATTCCTTCAGAAATTCAGCATCACATGCTGCCTCTGGCCCACCACTAACAGTAATACCAGCAACACCAACAGAGAAACGAGAGCATACACCAGGAGCTCCAAGCTGTCCCTCCTGATCACAGCTCTCCACAAAGGCTCAGTGCAGAAACCTCTAGCCAAATGCACATTGCCTTTTACCACAAGTGGCAGCTTTTTAGTAGGAACATGTTCACCAAGTGCAAGCAAGGCGAGGTCTGGGAACTGGATCCCTCTTTACATCACCCCAGCAAGGCCCATCCCTGTCCAGTGACATGAAGCTCCTCAGCCCCTGAAATCCCGTGGTAACATCAGCCCGAGCAGGGGCGACACCTCCACCCCCGACACAGCCTGTGCGTGTTGAATTACTGCCACCAGCACATTAGCCTTAAAAGGACAGATTTTAAAACATAGTCCATTTCTGTATAAAGCATCAGCTCAACAATGCCAGCAAGGCCCATCCCTGTCCAGTGACATGAAGCTCCTCAGCCCCTGAAATCCCGTGGTAACATCAGCCCGAGCAGGGGCGACACCTCCACCCCCGACACAGCCTGTGCGTGTTGAATTACTGCCACCAGCACATTAGCCTTAAAAGGACAGATTTTAAAACATAGTCCATTTCTGTATAAAGCATCAGCTCAACAATGCAAGCCAGGCTTTTGGAAAGGAAATTTTTTTGAAAGCTACTCAGCACCACAGCATGGCAAAAAACCAAACTGACACAACACTACGCGAGTTACAACGTATGGGACAGCAACTGGGCTTCATAACAGAAAAATATAGCCATTTATCAAACCTGGGTCTGCAGTTCTCCCTCCTCCACATCACAAAAGAAATTACTTAGCAGTCAACAGTGTTTTTTCCTTGTGAGAGATAACCTACATCTAAAGAGAATTCAGCCTGAACCTTGATATGTATCTGAGGAAATTCCAGGAAGTATCATACAGTTAAAGACAATTTTATAGGGACAAGCCTTAATTGTACAGTAAATCTCCCAGTTTCTCATTATCTAGCAAAGGCTGAGAAAATATCACAGACAAAATTAAACATAAATATTTCTGGTTCAACTGCAGCCAAGCTGCAAGGTAAGCTCAGGTGACCTTTGGCACAACAGCCTTAACATTGAAAAGCAAAGTGGAAAGGTCTTCGAAGGGTCTGATGTGTGACTCCCTGTGTCCAAACACACACAGACAAGAGCCACCCATGCTCCCCTTCCTCTGGGGCGCTCGCAGCACCCAGGGCCTGACAACAAGCAATCCTGCCCTCCAGCGAGCTGCTGGCCAGGGACCTGGGGCCACTCCTGCCTTTTCTGCCTCCTAGGGACTGGAAATTCCAGCAGTGGCTACGATTAAGCAAAACTCTGTAATGTTCACTTTTTGGATGCAGCACATGAAGTGCATTATCACACCCAGCAATTCTGTGCACGGAACTACCCCGAAGAGGTGAGCCCCCAGTATGTCTAAGCAGATCGAGTCTTTGCAAACTCCAAACTATTTTCACACCACTAGTACACAAAGTGGATAATGGGATTTAAGTATTAGTTAACTGTTGTTTCTGCAGCAGATTGAGACACAGCACTTTGGGGCATTTAGCTCCCAGGTATTCCAGCCTTGACCCCCAAGTTTAACTGTCGGTACACAACCTGGCATTTCCACCCAAAGGGCTGGCCGGTCCTGGCACAGCTGCCCAGGGCAGTGGTGGAGCCACCACCCTGCAGGGGTTTACAGGATGTGTAGATGTGACACTTAGTGGCACAGTTTAGTGGTGGACTTGGCAGTGTTAGTATAGGGTTGGAGTTTTTGACATTAAGGGTCCTTTCCAACCTCAACAAGCCTCTGATTCTCTATTTCCCCAGCTTACTACAACCAGCCTGCTGATCTACTCCAGGGAAGTGCATTTCTTTGTATAGCATTTCCAGCTTTTTTTGTAAAGCCACTTGAAGCATGTCCTTGTTAATACCTTCTTGGGTACTTGCATGCCTCCGAAACTTGTGTCTTAACCAAAATCAATGAGCAGTCCAACAGTTACAGATGCTCAAAACGGGTAACGTTGTGCTGACCTTTTGGTACAAGCCAACCTGGAGATTCAAAAGACTTCAGGCCTCATCTGGAAGCACGTTACCTGAAGACACTCAACTCTACTACTGGGGTGGTAGAATCAAAGCCCAGACTTGGGTCTGGGAGGAATGCTGCAGCCATTTTCCCCAGCTAGCAGTGAGCCGTTTGACTGTAAATGTCTGCAGGCTACGCTCACATCTCAACAACAGGAGTCTGACTTGATCCACACTGGATAGAGGTGAAAACTATCACCTACAGTTTCACAAAGCAACCCACCCAGTTACTTTCCTTGAAGACTGACAGGTAATGTGCACACCTTGTTCAGCTACACCGAAGCACACAGAACTCCAGTAAGAAGACTCAGCTGAAGGCAGAGGTGTTTTTTCAGTTACTTGAAACTCAGCCTTCCTGCATTTCTAATTGCAAGGAACTTGCTGACAGACAGCCAAGTGTACACAATCTGTTCTTTGATACTGTCCCATCTTCCAAGTCCCACTGACAGATCTGATCTCCACACAGCCAGCTTTCACAACAGCATCTAGTGAGAACGTGTTAAGCAATTAAGAAGAGGAAGCAATTCCAAGTAAAAACCATGGAGATAACTGACTTTAGGAGGAAAAAGTTTATTCAACTATTGCCATGTCAGAACAACAAAGCAGCCCTTACATGTAGCCACTCATCAAAAAGGACATTACAAAACATTAACATAATGTAATAGATCAATTTTCTTTCAGGCATTTTCAAAGGACATATCAGACCCACAGAATCTTCTGCTCTCTGGTGTGCAAGAAAAAAAGCTGGAGAGGAAACAAGCAAAGCAGCCAAACTTCTCTTCCCATCTGACAACATACCTGTGCTGTTCAGAGCCTCTTGACAGTGAAGGCGACGCAAGCAGCATTGAAGAGCTAAGATAGTACCATTTCTGCAGGAACCGAGGCAGTAACTACCAGTTTGAGGTGGTGAGTTCCTATTGCACACATGGCCAAAAGAAGAGGAAAGGAAGAAGACAGGCCCAACTGTGCCCTCAAATGCTCAGAAAGAATGTTCTGTACACAGCCCGCACGGCCCTCAGACAAGCAGGTGGTGGAACTGCAGAGCAACTATAGAGCCCTCACTTACTGGGAAGCAAAGTAAGCCTTCAGGCGTCCCTTACTTGATCTTAGCAGGTCAAACTCTCTGTCCAGCAGCTCCTCCTCTGTCAACTTGGAAAAATTGTCCTCTCCAAACGGGTTCCAGCCTGACATATCAGGTGGGTTATTGATGCTCTGCTTGGGGTAACTGCCAATTGATTCAGCAACAGGAATACCTGACCTGTAAAGGCAGTCCGAGGGAGCAAATAAAGAGCAGCATTACAGGACTGTTCACCAGGGGCAAAACAGGCTTCATCATGTCAAACACTACACACAGGCAACACACATGCATTAGCAGCCCATCCCAAAAGCATCTGACAGCTCATTTATGGGAAGTCTAGTAGGAACCTACATAAATACATAACCCAGTTCATAACATCAGTGACACTGGACAGATCTGTATATTCTAATTTTTAAATCAGAAAAGGAGGGTTTTTTTATTCCACACACTGTTGTTCCTAAGAATTCGTGGGAAAGGCCTTATTCATTACCCTTTACTAAGCAAGGGAAGGTTCACAGGCCCCCCCTGAGGTGTGTGCCAGCATATTACATCCTCAGGCCAGACTGCTGATCAATACCTGCAGGAGTCAGCAGACCTAGCAAATAAATGTCAACTATAAAGCTGCTCTTCACAGAGTGCCTGAAATTCCCTTCACATGCCCAAAACCTCATTCAACACAGGCTACTGACCATCCCAAGCAAAGTGGTTAGCAGCCAGTTCCTGGAAGAAGTCCATGAGCATGAAAACCTTCAAGGAGTTGTACCAGGCTCATCCGTTAACAAGTTAAGCGTCTCACTTTCCTCCCAAAATATCCCTTACCACTGAACACCCACTGTCCAACTGCTTGAAGTAATACCTTGCTATCCAAGCGAGTAAGGTCTGAGGAAAGGATCCAGCAGTGCTAACCACAAGCAGAGATGCAGTAAGCACCCCTGGGTACACTCACCTGCCTGCAGGGTGGGGAGGATCTGCCACTGTTCCAGCGTGCACTGGGAGGGAGCCAGGGTAGGAGATTAAGGCTGGTGCGAAGTCTTGAGGAGAAGTGATGTACTCGGGGGACTGTGCCTGCTGTGAGCGCTGCTGGGCCAGCACCTGCTGCTGCAGGAGAGCCTGCTGGTACTGCTGCACCTAGGGGGGTGGGACTGTGTTACCAGACACACACGGGGCAGCGTGCACCCCTTCAGCCCAGGAACAGTGCTGCTCTGGCCGCCGAACACGGCGCCCGCGCTCCAGGACGCACAGGCGTGGAGAAACTGCTCCGACAGGTCTGCGGCACTGCTCTTCTGCTCCAGCATATTGCCACTTAGCTTTGGGGAATCACTGCAACTGCAGCACCACTAAATTCCTTTGCATCATACCCTGTCCTTAAGTATTAGTACTCAAAATCGCAGGACAATTTCTCCTGACTTTTGCAAAACAGATTTCACTAGTTATCTTTCTTGCCTTTAAAGCAGGAATTTGATGCCACCAAGTCTTCTGGCACTTTGTAGTGTAACACATTTGCTGCTGAGGTCACTACTGGAAACCTTAAGTACCACGTGTGTTTCAAATGAGCATTTACCTCCTTAATGAAGTTTGGAACATATCTCATCTGATTAATACACAAGTGCAACTTCAGATAAGCTTTCACAAGCTAGTTTGGATAGATTCTCCCAAATTAATACCATTTTAGATGCCAAACTTCACCCTATTTACTGTGTCCACAGGTCATTACTCACACACTTCTCTCACTGCATCTTCACAACAGACTTAGAGACACCACCCAGATTTTAAGACTAGCGTTTCTGTTCCCTTCTTGACGTACCGTGGCAGGATACTGTGACTGGGCAGGCTGCTGTTGGTACATAGACTGCAGTAACAGCTGCTGCTGGACCATCTGCTGGTGCATTGCTTGCTGGTACTGGAGTTGGAAAGGAAAAAACAGCTTTGAGAGGCCATCATCCCCCTTCAGGAAAACCCAGATATTCCAAAGAAGCATCCAAGACGACATCACTTGGGACTGCACAGTATTGTCTAGTTAGGATGTCACATAACCAAGAGCCAGCTTGCAATTTGGTCACTGCTTTTTAATTGTTCTATGTCTGGAAGCTTTTTCCTTCCCCCTCTCCCCATTTTTAACAGAGAATAGCATTCAGCACTGGTGCACGTAGGAACATCTACTGCCAGCACAGCACAGTCACCTAGACAACTCCTAACGTTCACCCCAAGCTCCTTTACACACAGATAAAGCCTTTATTTGAGCCACACAGCAGGGATACAAAGCAAGCTGGATTCAGGGTCACGCTGCGAAAACAAGACAGCGCAAAGCAAGCAACTTTCCAGGAAAAGCATCAGAGTCCATGAAAGGACAAAGCCAAAGTCACTGGAAGGAACAGGAGCCATGATCTCTTTCTCTCTCTACTGGCAGGAAAAGCTCAGGCAGCAACAGCAGAAATACTTCACTACCACACGATTGCAAGCGTTATTAACCAGCACAAGGTGTCTCTCGGACACCTGAGTACCAGCTCTGACTGTACCTGCTGAATGTAGGCCTCCTGCACGGTGGGCTGGTGCTGCAGGTGGTGCAGCTGCTGCAGTCTCCAGTCTCCCTGCTGCAGCTGCTGGAGCACCCTGTGCTGCTGCGGGGGGTGCGGCGCGGTCCCGTGGGGCTGCGAGGCGTCTTGTCCGGGCCCTGGCCGTGGGGTCCCTGCGACAGACAACACTGCTGACACCCACATCTGCAGGCCTGAGCCACAGAGTGCCCTGCCCGGCGCGCCGGGGCGACACCGGCTGCCAACGCCCTTCCCAGCCCGACAGCTCGGGCAGCCACCAAATCCTTCCAGGCCTGTCAGTGAGCCACTTCTACTCCTCTGGTCTGGCAGCACAGCAAGCTGGTTCCAGACCTCTGCCTCGAGTCACACACTCGCAGCTCAAACCCTGACTCGGGGCACACAGCTTTGTATGCATCCGACACAGACATATTTGCAATGTTCCTCCTTAAGGGGACTAACTGGCTCACCTGTCAACTCCACGAAACTGAACACCTGATTGCCTTCGCAATTCAATTGTTTCTGCAGCCTTTCAAGTAAACACTTACTAACATAAATCAAACTCTGGCATGCTGTGTTTATGTTCTAAGTGCCCAGGAATAATCTGTTCCTTGTTATAACAGGAAAAGCTTTCCAAGTTGGGTGCTATTTGGGCCCCTTCTAGCAAAAGTTTTTTACACCTGGCACACAAACAAACGCTCTCAGTGCCCTTTAGGCTGGAGGTTTTCCCAGTGCCATCCCTGAAGCTTCCCCTTCTGTACCGTAGGAGACACATAATAGCACCAAGTGCAATAGAAACTTTCTAGGTATAAATGACAACTATTTAGGCGAATATTTATCAGAGCCTTAACTCTTTTTGAACGAGGACAAGAAGAATTCATAAAGGATTTCGTGAGACCCATTTCACTGGGCTGAGTCTCCCTCAATTACTCCTGTGCTGCCTCTTGCACATACAGTGCTAGTTGAAAGACATCTGTCACTCATTAGACAGTGACATTTCTACACAGTTCCAGCCTACAAGTACCACCAACATACTGCTGGCATCTCATGGCTTGTTGAGGCACGGGAGAATACTTCTCCTCCTACAACAGAAGCAGTTTGCTGCAGAAGAGCTGTGTGCTTTCTGTGAATTATTTGAAAGTCCACACTGAGCATGAACTTCTCTCAGTCTGCAGCATGAAAGTTTGCTCAAAACCAGTGTTAAGCACAATAGAAAAACACCTTCTCTTCTCAATAATCTGCATTTAGCTTTTGTGGCACCTCAAGCACAACTCACACATGTCGAGTCTTTGAGAAATAATGGAGATTTGGGTTTGGGTACATAGAAGAGAGATGAATGAGAGTTTTAAATGTTATCCCTACAAGAGCAAGAAACAAAATCAAGGCAAAATTGATCGTTCATTTCTTTCGGTTCGCCCCTAGACTGGGAGTTACCTTTCAGCCCACGACTGCCCAGCTCCCCAGGAACCTGCACTTTGATGGGCGTCGCTGCGCTCTGGATGGTCAGCACGCTGGAAGTGGCAGTGCTCGAGTTGGCCTTTGGTCTTTGTCGTGGTGCAATTGAGGTTTCTGTTGGTCCAACAGCATCTGTTATTCTGAAAGGGCAAATTGTGCCAGAGAAGACCGATCAAAACAGACTGTTTCTATTTGCAATTAGACACACTATCTCTTAACAGCTCAGTTATGTCTTAACCGTGCGCTGTTCTACTTCTGAACTGCACTTCAGCACCCTGAACTGGCTCCCTAAAACCCCAGGCACTCCCACGGCAGCCATGGGCCATGTCACCATTCAGGAGGAGCAGCCTTATGCCCAGGGAGCCTGTGGCACTTCCCTGCATGGGCTCCCCTCGGCACACGGAGGTCGCGTGCTGTGCTTGCAGTTCATCTGGATCTTCTGCTACTAAAGTAATACTTCATATATTAACAGACATTTGAAAACAGCTTTCAGACCAACATGTAGCTCAACACTATTTGCAAACAGACACCAACCACACCCTCTGCTCACCTTGCTTTTATTTGGCTTTTCCTAGCAGCTGCCTCACTAGCTGTCATGGGTTCAGGCAGAGTTGAAGGGACAGGAGAATTCTTGGGAAAAATAAATTGGAATACATTAAAAACCCAAAATCCTGAAAGAAAGAAATCATTACACATTGCAGAGGAATACTTGGGGGCACGACTTGCATGATGAAAGCTTCATGCACAACTCACAGCTGTAGATTAACAGGTTTAATTTAACAGTACCTCTGTGTTCTCTCATCTCTTGCAGAAGTAAAAGGAGGACATGACTGGTCTAACTGCTCTGCCAGCCACTTCACTTGACTGACACTACCAACTAGCAATAAAGGCCCATGTTTTCCTATGTTTTCTTGTGACTGCAGAGACTTACTTCAGCCCCAAGTTAGGGAACTAAATCAAAGCCCAGCCTTTGGAGGAAACAGTGTGTTTCCAGCTCTTCCACTGCAACACCAATTCCAGAACACCACACAGCATCCAAAGCTTCCTCGGGCCTTCAGCTTACCCCCATCTCAAATTCCTCAGGGAATCACATCATCTAAACCATGTTTTACCAAGGAAAATGCAATTTTGGGGGAGGGAGGAGAAAGATCATCTCTAATGACAAATGCACAGAAACAAAGCAAATCTAAACCTGGTGACAAATAGTAGAGACAGTTAATTACCAAGTACTTCAACATTTCCTGATTTATTTTAACCCATGTTTCCAAAAGGCAACACTCACAGTTACTGAGCACCACCTTCTTCAAGGATCAATGACAAAGGAATTCCAGGGTATCTCAGGAGTTCACTTCTCTGCCTATGAAGGCAGAGTTTGCTATAACTGACATCTGTTGCCAACCGAGTTTTGAGAAGGATTTTTCCTGATGCTTGAGACCCACTTTATAATACCCAACATAACTGAGGTGCCCTCAACTTCTGTTGCCACAATAATTGGATCTGTGAAGGAGGTGATCTTTAAGACAAAGTTCAGACTTCCCAAGTTCAAATTCCCATGGAAAGCAAGGGCAGGAGTATAAACTAACCCAAGCACTACTCTGTTTGCCTTCCAGTTCCTTCCAGGGGCTAACGCAAGTGCTAAGGATGAGTAAGTAAAAGGGTTTATCCAGAGCAAACATACATGCTCCTGACATTAGAGTTACAGCACTAAACCTGCTGTAGTCTACAAGTTTTGGTTCTGTAGTATATTCCATACTAATTGTATTGCCACAAGAGACAGCCCAGGGCTAACACCCTAAGTCAGGTCTTGCTGCAGTATCCGTGCAGTTCACGAAGCTAAGAACACAGTTGGTCTGGAGAGCTCATACTGCTTGTACACAATAGCAGCTGCGAGTGCACTCTGCACTGTTTGGTGCTTGGGAACCAGGTTTATGATCAAACTGAAACCATCTCTCACCTAATGTGACGCATTGCTCAATGCTAACTGCATAAACGCACCGAAAATACAGAAAAAACCAATACTACTTACATTAATATTAGACACTGGACAATCCTTTTTGGCAATTTTAAAGGCAAAGTAAGATACTTGAAAGATATCAGGTCTCTGCTCTTGATCTGGTTCAAGCATATATCCTGTAAAAACCAACAAGACCAAGTTATCACGGCTAGATCTCACAAAGGTCTCGCTCTTTCTAGCTAACCTGCTCTAAGTTGAAAACAAAGACAGCGGAAAATACTGATGATCCCTGTAAACATTAGCACCTGCACCTCTGTGCCTGGGTAACAGATTAATTGCAAGCCTCAGAGCTGCTTCCTGTCCAAGGTTTCCTCTCATACTCTTTGTGCTTTCCAGCTTTTGCTGGAGTTCATATCTGACACTTGGGATTGCACAAACCTTTGCAGGTTTTTGTTCTGTTCTAAATCATGAAACTACTATAAAATTCTCCCCAGTACAATTCACCTCAGCATGCTGATGTTGCTACACTAAACTTACAGTTCAAATTCACCCAACCATAACTGTCCAACTTGGATAACAGTCTGACATTCCATGAAAAATACACACTTAAGAGCAAGAAGGAACTATGAAGAAATAGAGCTAAATAGTAGGTAAGAGCTTCTCTTTTCCCTCCTCCATCCTTTTGTGGTTTGCAGCCACATAAGGAAAAGCAAAAATCATCCCTGCGCCCCAGAGAACCAAAGAGCTCCCTGAACTTCAACAACACCCTTCTGAGTAGAGAGGCACAACTGAATCTGGCAGGTCTTGGCACTGTTTGATTCTGTTCAATTCTGGAGTCACCATCTCATCCATAAAATGGCCAGAACGGAGCAGGTGATTTTCACACCTCGGCTGTGCAGGAGCAAGATGTGCTCGTTCTCATTCACAGTTTGCTGTGGGTTTCTGAAATCCCTCTCCAGGCCGTCCCCCCAGGCTGCACCCTGGGGCACAGCACTCCCTGAGCAGCAGGACGAGCAAGCCTCCCTCAGAGGCCAGAGCAGGAGTGGCAAGGCAGCTGCAGCCAGGAGCAACTCCCCTGTCCACTGGGACTGCACCGCCAGCCGTCTCCCACCCGCCCTGCAGACCTTGAGTGCTGTGCTGGCTCAGCCCAGAGAAGTGCTGAGCTGCCCACACACTCACGTATCAAGCAGTGGATGCCGTGGGAGTATCGCGAGTTGTCTGGGATGGTGAAGCTTCCGTCACAAATAGCGACTTGGCTTTCTCCGAAGGGAAGGGAAAAGAAACAGAGTTTGTACAGCAAGCAGCCAAGGGCCTGTAAGAGACAAACACAGGCAGTGTGAAGGGAGGAGAGTGAGCCCCTTACACCACAGAGCAGCACCAACGAGACACAAACTGCACCCTGGCTATGGCTGATGCCTCCCTGTCGTGCAGAAGCTGCACCGTGACACAGGTGATGTGATGAGCAGACACGTCAAGAGACTCCAAGAGTTGCTTTTCCACTGGCTCCTATGACAGACAATGATCTACAAAACCAGAGCATACCCTGGGAGCTGCGTTCTCAGTGCCACGTCACCCAGAGACACCACCAGCCTTCGCACTAAATTTTCTTCACTGCACATCACCTAATAACACCTTTCTGGATCAAACTGCCAACAGGTTTCCATGAGAAGCTACTGGTGACTACCAAGCAGCAACCAGAGCTGGCAAAACCCAAATAAATTTTAAATCATGTCCCCCTTCCTTCAGAATAAAAATCAGACCATTTACAGAAGACACAACTCCCCAAGATCTATGCTATATTCTGCCTTCTATAGCTGCATAATGCATTTCATTTTCTGTTGGGACCTGGCTAGCAGAGGAGCTGTAACTTGACCAACAGTTAAAGGAATGCTTAAGCAATTAAAATCAAGACACACAAATTAGGTCTTGTTTATATCTTCACGCATTCCTGTGTCTTCAATCCACCACTTTATAATGGTCTTGTTTTCCCCTGCTGCCAGGGTTTTTAGGTTTGGTTTAGTTTTACTGTCTTACAGATAAGTCATTTTGCTAACAAGCTAAAATAGTGCTGTTATTTAGACTCTCATGGACACTGTGTAGCTCTTGTTATCAGTCTCCCAGGATGTGAGAGCGGGACGCAGCTTAAAATTGTAACCTATCATTAGTAAGAACTGTACACAGTGACAAGTGGAGCAACTGATCCAAAGTTGTGTGCTCAGCGTGTTGCTGCAGGTACGGGAGACTTTATACTATAAATACTGTTAAGTGCCCTAAATAAAGTTGGTTATCAGAGCATCATATTGGTATGCTGCAGTCTGTCCCTCGCAAGGACGCCAACAATTTTCCAGGAATTTATTCTTCAGACAATGTTCCTCTTAATTCCCCCTCCTTAGTTAGTTCCATGTGTCATACTACCTGATTTGTTTGCTTACCCAGATATCTGCCTTGGTAGTAATTGCCTTTCCCCCATACAAATTGATCATTTCAGGAGCTCTGTATGACAGTGTTGTGTACCTGGCAAGAGAAGCGAAGAGGACAGGTGAAAACTCTGCCTGGCAACTGAGTGTTGTCCCCACCTGCCAACACACACCAATCACACACGTGCCTGGAGTCGCCTCATACGATCCAAGTCATTTACTGCACTTGCAGCACCACAGAGGATATCTGGAGCAGCCACATGAGACTATTGTAGGCAAGAGTAAACAGTAAGTCAGCTAAAATTTGCTGTTAGTGTCATTTCCCCAGAAGCATGTCCTTTTGCAGGAGTCGCTGCCTGTAAGCAGCCAGTCATTTGGAAGGAGAAACTGAAGAGTTCTGCAAGGGCTTTCCCTGTCACATACTGAAACATACAGGACTTCAAAAAACACCTCAAAGCCACTGCTAAACTGGCAACCCAAACATTTCAGAGCTGGAAGAACACCCTGTGTCCCTTTATAACTTGAGAACAATTAGCCTGTATTTGTTCCTCTGCAGTAGTTAGCCCAAAGGGGTAAAACCAAATCAATACCTGTTTTTGAGAGTGTGTCTGCAGTAAGCTCTGAAATATTTTCTGATCAGTCTCAGGAGAAGGAACATGGGCTCTGCAACTGAGACTCTACTTCTAATGCTTACTGATGGCAGTCCCTCCCAATGCTTATTTACATCAGTTATCTCATACCATCAGCAGTATTAAATAGCATAGATTCAAAATGTCCAGCCCCTGAAGTGGCCAGTAGCCAGGTATATTTCTGAACAATTCAGTTTCACCACAGCATGCTTTTTTCCCCACAGTTTTATTCTTAAGAGTCCCAGTTTTGGAAAACAATCTGTGAATAAATGGAAGAAATCCATTACCAAAGAGTTCTATTCTTTTACTGCATTTATGCCAAAATTCCAGATCAACCGTTGAGTTCAATCCATATTGATAAGCTACATGCACACCACACAGAAGTTTGCTAGCAGCACAGTCACTGCTTGTGGTAAGTCACACAAAAGCAAACTTACTTTTTAATTTCTTCCTCAACCATATTAACCCCATCTTTTTGGGGATTCAGGTACTTGTTAGTGGCACTACCAAAATCACAGAGAACATAGTTCCCATTATCGTTTAACAAGAGATTCTCCACCTGGAAAGGGAACCAACACAGAGAAAAGTCAGGTTGAAATCATGGCATTCATTTCCAAGTTGTGTTACTGCATGTTCTCACGTTCTCACACAAAAGCAGGAAGTTTCCAGAAAAATCAATTGATAGACTTAGTTTGAGCAGTGTGTTGGTTTAGTCTCCACGAACAGCAAGTGCTTCCCAAACTAGACGTCAGCCGTAGGGAAATATCTCCTGTATTCTCCAGCCTTTCCAAGCAGCCAACTGATTTCACCCTAGATCTCCTGCGTGTTCCATTCATACCTTCAGGTCCCGGTGAACTATAGGCGTTTTGCACTGATGCAGCCGAGCAACAGCCTCACAGGAGTCACAAAATATTCTCAGGACTTCCGACTCCGTGAAGCCCGTCTGCAGGCGCTGGTTCATCTGGTTCACAACCTGCCCAGCTGAAGAAACAACAAAAGTTTTTTTACCTAACTCCTATCTGGTGCAGAAGTAAGGACCTATTTATATGAAGCCCACAAATAAGATGCAAGGAAATTTTCCAGTCACAGCATGTGAACAAAACAAACCTGTTCTCCAAATGTGCACTCTTGTGTCATCCTAGACAGAAAAATTACTGGTTCACATGAACACCAGTAAGTCCCTATGACTGAAACATTTTTGGAACCAGTCGTTGCTGACACAAAAAGAGATCCATCACATCAAGATGTTACCTCCAAAGTGTCTCTTGCATTGGGATCCACAGCTCAAGCCCTGTCAGCCAACCAAGCACATTTTAATTCATGCTCTAGACACCCTCTACCTTTGACTTTGAGAGACAAAGGGAGTGAGAAAAAGAGAGGGAAAAAAAAAGCCCTGAATCCCACCCTTGAATAAAAACCTGACTTACCCCCTTTATAGGTTTTTCCCTGAGATTGAGAATCAATATTCCCCGTTTCTTGAAGGAATTTTACCAGATAATACTAGGATCTTCCTACCACAATACTCACTGCACACCAAGAGGTGAACCAAGACTCTGATCTGCAGGGCCTTGGTGGGCATCCTGTCACACAAGGATGGCTCAGACAGAAACAGCCTAACACTCCCAAGTGCTGACTGCTGACGTCCACGTGGCTCTTGACCACGGTCATCAAGCAAAGAGTACTGCTAACAGGGAGGCAGAAGTGAGCTCCCACAGGGGTACAGAAATTCACCCGTACAAGCAGAGTAGAGGCAAAAATGGGCCCACTGGTTTTCAATTTCTCTCCTTATTCCCTTCCCCAAAAGGTACATCAACCTTGTTTTTGGCCTCTTATGGTACAGCCTGCACCAGCTGCAATGCCTGCTGCTTCTCCTGCAAATAGAACCCCCACACACCTCAGCTCAGAGTACTCTGTAAGCCCCACAGACCACAGAGTGGGTTTTCTTTCTAGTCTCAGTATTTACTTGGTACTACAGCACTTGTTCCAGTGTCATCACCTACACGGGTTAAGCACCATCTCATATTGTGAGGCCAGTGCCTAGTCACCCTGGATCTTAGACAAACTTCAGGAGTTAAACTCTACGGCAACTTCATTCCAGTGCATCTGTAAAACCACATGGGTTTACATACTGTTTGAAACTAAGTTACATACACTTGTAGAAATAATTTCCCTGCTCCTAGCCATACTCAGTTACAAAGTCACGTGAAACTGACTGGCACCTTTTCCTCAGTGCTCAACAGCTCAGTACCTAAATAACCACAGCAGCAAAGCAAGAACAGCTACTTGCATTCCAGGTGTGACACACACAGGTGAGCCTCCTATATGAAGAGAACACTTGTAGTAAATCCCAGGTGATCACACACTTTCCCTGCATTTCCTCTGAACACCTAGGAGCTGAGTCTTACCTCGACAGTACTCCATGAGGATCAGAACCTCCCACACATTATCACCTATGGAGTTAACAGCACAGTCCAAGTAGCTCACGATGTTCTTGTGTCCAGACAACTCTTTCTGAAAAAGAAAATGCACATTACATTTTATTATCAGAAAAATTAAAAGATAATTTCAGTTGCCACTGCAGCTCTGGAAGAAATTCCTTCTGCTTGGGAACCAGAGGTACTGATCAAAGTGACTGTGGTTACACATTTTTAATAACTGCGTTACAAGCCGATCACACACCAACCCTAACCCCAGCATCAGTTTCTGAAGCTAATGGTGCAAAATCTGGATCACAAGGTCAAGAGCAGCAGCGCCCCAGAAGCAGCTTCCACCGAGGAGCGTTCGGTGTGCACACAGGACAGATGGAACAGCTACAAGGAACAGCCTCCTTACCATAATGGTGATTTCCCTCTTGCACGTGTTGAGATCCGGCACGTTGTTGACACACATGCGCTTCAGCGCGCAGCGGAGCCCGCCGTGGGTGCGGACCACGAACACGGTCGAGAAGCCACCTGCAGAACACAAGCACAGGCCACTGAAGCCACTGGAGGTGGTTGTTCTCTGGCCAGCAGCACTACATGCTAAGCAATAGGTAAGAAAGACTATATCAGTCATTGAGAGATGAGCAACAAACACTCAAAGATTAGCTACTGCAACCCATTTCTTTCGAGTCAAGTACTCTTGACAAATCTGAAGGCATTCTCCAGATCTCCATCACTTCTAAACCCCCAATACTTACTTCATCGAGGGTAATTAACAGTAATTCCCTAGAGCTACACTTTAAAATACAAAAAGTAAAACATTAAGAAAAAAACTAAGGCTTGAGAGCTACTGAAAAAGTCATGCAGCTTTTGAGGTTAGCCTGAGGACAGGTAGAGCCTCCCTGCACTCCCAGACAGTGCCAGACACCAGCTCTAAACAGGTGCTTTTATTTCAACCCCTAGAGAATATGCAGTGTCGAATCCAGCAGTTCTCACAACCCATCCCATCGGGAGCATTCTTAGTCCAGCAGTGGCATGGACTGGGCACCACAGCTGAGCCCACCTCTCAGCATCCCACTGTGAGGGGGCTCGTCTCTCTTCTGTGCTAGAGAAGAATCACAGAGGCAGGAACTACACACACAACCAAAGTGGAACAGCAAGCACTGCCAAATGCTCAGGCAAACCAAAGGAAAAACAGCACTCTCCCCTTTCATCTGTCCTCTGTTAGTCCTGCCTGCTGCTCAAGGCCTCGAGCAGGTTACACTGGCATCACCTCAAGATGCACAGCTTTCCCACAATTTTGGGCAATCAGCCTCATGGAGGAGGCTCATGTCAATCCATGCTTTCCCTAATTGACTGCTGTCTGATCCTAAGCCAAGCAGCACCACGGGAACTCGCAGCTAGGCCAGGAGCTCAGGTACACAAGCAGGACAGAAATATGCAAATGGGCACGATGAGCTGCCCTGATAACCAGCAGCCCATTGGCACACCCAGGTCTGTGTGCCCTGACAGCACCTGCGGGCAGCACTCAGCAGCGTACTGCGCCCCGTTTGACGCAAGCCTCGTGTGCCAGAGCAAACAGGCACATCAGCACTTCCTCACGCAGCTAGGATCCATGAAGGAATTTCTCTGGAAGTCTAAACATCTGTTATTTTTTAACTTAATTCTTCATTTAGCCAAATGGGATGCTATGCTATGCCTTGCCCTGGTTTACCTAGGGCTTTCCCAAACAATGCACAGGACACTCTGAACTGCTGCTCGGGTTCTAATGCTGAGCTCCATCTGGGGCTGAAATGATCCAAGAGACCTCCCCAGCACCAGCCTGGAGAATTATGTCAGAGCAACGTACAGACCTTCACTAGCAGAGCAGTTTTTGCATTATCCTTGCACTAAAGACTTGTTTTTTAAGCACCAAGACTTGACCCAAAATATAAAGCAGTACTTCAGGTAAATCACGAGAGTCACAATTAGAAGATGACAATCACTCCTTGGCTTTTTAACCAGTCTTAAAGCCCTGAAATTCTCTCTGACTAGCAGGAGGACAAGAACAGAACGGCACATTTCCCGTTTCCCCGGCAGCTGCGCTGCAGGAAGCCGAGCAGACACACCGTGTCAAACCACCAGCGCAGGAGTGCAGAGCCCCGAACGCTCAGCCCAGCGCTGCTTCCCAAGTAGTGCAGAGCCCCGAACGCTCAGCCCAGCGCTGCTTCCCAAGTAGTGCAGAGCCCCGAACGCTCAGAGTGCAGAGCCCCGAACGCTCCGCCCAGCGCTGCTTCCCAAGTAGTGCAGAGCCCCGAACGCTCAGCCCAGCGCTGCTTCAGCCGTTAGGTGGCAATGTCAGCCCGAACGCGAACCCCAGGGAGCACTGAGAGCAGCTCTAGGCCTCACTCTGCCAAGGAGCAGAGCTGTGACCTTGACTGGTTTTCCATCAGTAAATATCACCGCTATAAAAATCCTCTCCTCAAAGAGCCGCGGGGCAGAACTCTGAACACGGCCAGCCCGAGTGAACTGTGTTTGCCTCAGCACGAGTTTCCTCACTGTTTCCCTTCCTGCTCTCCCCCATCCCACGGCAGTGTGTGAGCCAGGGGCTGCTGGGGACTCGCCTGCTGGCTGGGGTTAAACCACAGACCTCGGTCTCCTTCAGGCTTTTATTTCCACCAAACTCACCCAGGACTTACACAGGACATCACACTGCCCTTTTCCTTGGAACGCTTGCTAAGAAGCCTTTCTATAGCACCTACAGACAGATAAGCCAGTAGATCCTTGGCAGAATTAAAAACTCCTTACAAAGCTCACAACTCTTCCTCACGTTGCTTTCCTTGAACCATCACTTCTGCCACATTAAGGATCCACTTTCGGGATCTTATTATCAACTAACTAGCAATGTTCTGGGTTTTTTTCTGGGCTGGGTTTTTGTTTGTTTATATGTTTTTAATGAAATTTCACATCAGCAACCTCTGTCTGTGTTCTTCCTATCCATGTTTAGGGTCAACCCTGACTACTTTCACAGGCCTCAACATTCCATTTACGCTTTACCACATTACATTCCTGAAACTCCAACCGGGAAACACTGTAGCTGTCAGAATTCAAAGTACGCTATTTGCTTACTCAGGTAGAACAAAATAAGGCTGAAAAACCTTCCAGCACCTGTACCTTCTTTCAGAGTGCTGAGAGCCGCTTAGTGGAGACAGTCTAGAAGAATAGCAACAAACGTATTCTGGGTAAAATTAATCCAATTTTAGACAGGGACAACAAGTTATTTTGAAATCTTTTTTTTTTAAACATATAGAAGCACCACATGCCGCTCCTCCAAGTAGTGAGCTCCTTGACTATACATTCAGGTCTCAAACAGAACTTGAGGAGCAGAAGGTTTTGACCTGTACAGTAGCACACAACCACTGCCCACACTTGTAAAAGCTGGACCAGAACAGGAGTTTCTACAGTCACTCTCAAAACCAGCAAGGTATAAAATGGTTCCCTACAAAGCCACTAAATCTTGGCTGAGTTTTTAGCATCCATTTCCATTCAAAGTAAATACTCAAAAATGAGTTTTGATAAAGCTAATCATTTTCAGGTACAGTATTTACATCTGCTGTTCCTGTACATTCCTGAACCTGATATGAACGAAGAAATACATGTGTAAAACAACACTTCCTAGTTGTTATGTACCTACACAATCTGGTCAGTTAGGTATTTAATAACTTCTGCGACAACTCAATCTAATCTCGAGATAAAAAGGAGATGTTTTGCAGACAGACCCTTGAGCTGTGA